TTTAGCTATGCATATGGACTCTTAAAAAATTAAATTGGCCCCTTTAATCTTTGGTTATACTTTCCTTTTGGGTGTTTAAGGCCATACAGTTGGCCCAGATAAACCAACTTATTTTTACTCTTAAGGTCATTTGAGGATCTGTTCCTCAGGGGTCACATGGGCTTGGGAGGAGCCCCTGGCTCCTTTCTTTTACCAGTTCTATGTGGAGATAAGTCAAAGGTCCTGCTCGACCATGGCTGGCTTCACTTGGAAGCATGGAGGAAATGATTCCTCTGTGTTGACCCTCCTCTTGGTAGACTGGACACTGGTTCAAGTCCACCTCATGGGGTCTCCTCGGCCTCCTGGCTTGGGGGTGCCGACAACACAGCAGACAGTAGCATGGATATCAGAGTATAAGGGCTCTAGTGGGAGAGGGAGGCTATGGGAGGGTGCCATCTGGGAAGTGGGTGTATAGTTGAATAAGATGGTGTGGGATGTTCTGTGTGATATACACACAAAAAAAAACAATTTTTTAATGTACTATATTTGAGGAGGAAGCATGGAAATTTACATCATGTTAATTAGTAGAGGTGATAAACATTACCACTGAAATCTACCCGATGACTTTATAGACATACACAGGTGCCAAGGATCCAAGCACAGCCGATTATGACTAGTAATAATCAGGCTTACAGATTAGAGATTCATGCACTAACATCTCAGTGTTAGTAGCAAAAACAATGAGTCTTTCTGCAAGGAACAATATATTCTAAAATGAAATGGAGATCTTTTTTAAAGGTTAAAAAACTCATTCAATTTTATGCCTTACAGGGCTTATACTGAATTCAATATTGTGTAACTGTATTAACTCAACTGTGAACCTAGAAACTTGCACCCACTTGGAGATGTACTCTTGCTCTAGAGTGTTTTACCGAATATGTTAAAGCTATAATGAAATGCTTCTTCTAATCATGTAGTTATTAAAAAAAATTTTTTTAAGTACTTGCTATGCAGGTCTGATGATCTGAGTTAGATATCTGGATCCCATGGTGGAAAGAAAGAACCAAGTTCTGAAAGTGGTCTTCTGACCTGCACACGTGTCTTGGTGCACATGTGCCTACACACACACACACACACACACACACACACACACACACCACAGTAATAATAACAAATGACACACATGTGCCTGCATATTCACACACACACGCATTATACACACAATAATAATAACAAATAAAAAATTTTTAAATCTCTTAGCAAACCAGGTAGTAGACTTATTAGAGCTGCATCCAGAAGTAGACTGCCCATTATACCAACAATCCTTTATTTGACATCAATACTGTGAAAAGTTATTAGGGAAAAGTTATTAGGCATTTGAACTGGAAAAGAAAGAAGAAAATTATCATCTTGTTCAGAGATGACTAATGATCCCCACAAAACAAAGTTAAGAAAAACCTTCTATACCAGTGATATCTAACTTTGATATATATCAGGCACCTGGAGCACTTAAGACAGTTCTCTAGAGTTCATCTTTGACCCAGAGTTTCTAATTCAATAGATGTGGAGTAAGACCTAAGAATCTGCATTTCTGACTGTGAGAACAAGGCCAGCCTGGTCTACGTAGTAAGCTCCAGGTCAACTGGGGCTACAGGGAGACCCTGTCTCAAAAAAAAAAAAAAAAAAAAAGCAAACAAACAAAAAGAATAAGTACCTACAGGCCAAAGTACAGGGCACAAATGTGAAGGCCCCTGTCCAGCATACTACTTTTAATGTTTTGGATTTTTTTTTCTTTCCAACTTTCAGGTGGTTTTTGCTCTTACAGACTTTGTGATAGAAAATCTTGGAAAGCAGTTTATAGAGACACCTCCCGTGGACCTGGCTACTCTGTATCAAGACATGTCCTATAGCACCCCACTGGTGTTCATCTTGAGCACAGGATCTGATCCCATGGGTGCCTTTCAAAGGTTTGCCCGGGAGAGCGGGTATGCAGACCGGTAAGGACCACCGTGAGGTTTTCATAATCCATATTCATAGCCATGTTAAAGTTTGTCTTTGTCCTCCTGTGGAGCAGGAATCCTTCCATTCAAGCATCCCTTACTAAATAAATTAAGATATGTTACTATTGGGGGCTGGAGCAATGACTCAGCAGTTAAGAGCACTGGCTATTCTTGCAGAGGACCCAAGTTCAGTTCCCAGCACCCACATGGTGGCTAACAACCATCTGTAACTCCATTTCCAGGGTGTCCACAAGCATTGCATGCATGTGATGCATTTGCAATACATGCCCAAAAAATACTCATACACATAAACTACAAATAAATAAATATGTAAATAAACAAGCGAATAAATAAATTCTAAGAAGATATTTTAAATATTTAGGTGTGTATGTTGTTAAAATGGCGTCAAAATTATAAAACCATGTGTAGATTTCATCTGACCCCAAGAGAGATTACTTAAAAATAGTGAAAGTTGGGACTGGAGAGATGCTCAGTGGTTAAGAGCACTGACTACTCTTGCAGGGGACCCTGGTTCGATTCCCAGCACCCATATGGCAGCTAACAACTGTCCTTACTCCAGTTCCAGGGGATCCAGTGCCCTCCTCTGACCTCCATGGGCACTGTATGACACAGGTGCACTTACACACATGCAGGAATATACTCATACACATAAAAATAAATTTTTTAATTACTTGAAGTATGATCTAGTGGGAAAATGATTAGAACTTATTTAGTATTTAACATATGATTATCATGTATAACCATAAAAGGACTAAAGTTTACTCCCTGTATTCAAATATGTGAAAATATTTCAATATGGGAAAAATGGAGTTCTTTATGTTCTGTTATTAATTTTATGTTTCTCACAATGACCTCTGGTTCTGATGGGTTCCTCTAGGAAACTGTCGGTCTGGCCTGGTCCCTGGACTGAGAATTACAAGGGATGATGGTTCCAATCTCTTCCTTTGGAGTTCATAGTCCATATTTACTCTTCTGCAAAATATTTATATTTATTTTTTCTGCAAAGAAACAGAATCACGGGACATTGGTGTGGGTGTGTGAGTGTAGATATGTATATATACATATATGTATATATGTTAATATTTTGTGTATAGAAATTTATTAAAAGGAATTGGCTTATGAAATTATGGAACCTAAGGAGTCCCAAGTTCTACAGTCAACCCCCAGGAGACTCTGGAGACACACATAAAATAAAATAATTAGAAAAATAAATGTTCCACTAGAGCTGAGACGTTTTGGTTCTTAGAGCCTTTGGGCTCAAAGTAAATGAAATTATTGGCTTATAGATGGTAAACCATGGGTTTTCTTCTTCTCCATAATTGCATGAGCCATTTCCTGGTGTGTGTGTGTGTGTGTGTGTGTGTGCATGTGTGTGTGTTTTCTGAAAACTCTAGCAGACTGAATATGAGGTTTCTTTGGAGGTGTGAACAGATTGTGTAACTAGCAGTCATTCACTAGGTGCTCTGCATTGCTAATGTACTGGAAGACATTGAACTGCACACTTTATGACAGCTAAAAAAAATGCGTAAGTATTACTGAAAGCAAAACCTGGTGAGATGACTTACCTCAACACATATCAAGACTTAATATAAACACATTATAAAATAAGAGCCATTTAGAGAGTGTGGTCCTAGTCAAAGCTAGATAAATAGACACATAAAAGAGAATAGAGAAGTCAGGAACAGACTCATGTACGTGAGGACACCATTTATGACACAAGTGAAACCTCAGAGTGAAGAAAAAAATAATCATTTCAAAACAAAAGCCTGAGTCAGTGGAATGGCCATATGCATGAAATGAACTCTGACCTGCGCCTCACCCTATACACACAAACCAATCCTGATAGTGGGTAGATCCAAACACAGAAGGCAAATCAATAAATAGAGGGCAATGTAGGAGAATATCATCTGAATATGGAAATAGTTCCTAAATGCAGAAAAATTGAGATCATTAAAAAAAAGACAGACAAGCTGGGTGTGATTGTGCACACCTGTAATCTCAGCACTCAGGAGGTAGATGCAAGAGAATGTTGAGTTCATGGGCACCCTGAGCTACACAGTGAGCTTTCAGCTCCAAACGTGATGACCTGAGTTCAGTCCCATATGGTGGAAGGAGAGAACTGACTCCCACTATTGTCCTCTGAACTCCACATGCATGCCATGGGATGTGAATACATGAATGCTCTAACACATACACTCAACACACACACAACACACACACCATGCACATGTGCACATAAAATAAATGTAATTTTAAAAATTAATTTAAAATTCTTATCACTTAAAAATAACATGAAAATGGGCTGGGCATGGTGATACATGCCTGTAGTCCCAGCACTTGGGAGGCAGCAGACAGATCTCTGTGAGTTCAAAGCCAGCCTGGTCTACATAGTGAGTTCCAGGCCAGCTGGGACTACAGGGAGACCCTGTTTCAAAAAGATCAAAAAAAAAAAAGAAAGGTTGGCCAGTTCCTTCCTTATATGTCTGAGCAAAATTAATAATAATAATAATAATAATAATAATAATAATATCATTGTGTTTCCTCCAGAGTGCAGTCCATCTCACTGGGACAAGGACAAGGCCCCATTGCTGAGAAAATGATCAAAGATGCAATGAAATCAGGAAACTGGGTATTTCTGCAGAACTGCCATCTTGCTGTTTCTTGGATGCTGGCAATGGAAGAGCTTATCAAAACCTTCACGGATCCAAGTATGTTGAGCAAGTCTGTGGAGCAACACGTTTTCACATAGCTCTCTTGTGTGATGGCTCCTTCTGGTAGTTCTCCAGTATAGACCTTGTGCTTTCTCTTATTACAAAAGAAAAGTTTGAACACTAGGGAGATTTGGTTAAGTTACACAGTCAGGTTTCAAAAACAGGCCTTCAGATTCCAAGTAAGGAAACAGCCCACTGACTCATGTGTGTCACATTGCCCTCTATGGGAAGCTGGTTGAATCTGAACTACATCTTATGTGCATGATAAAAAGGAACAGAAAAAACAGGCTTGGTTCAAAAAAAGACATTAAATCTTTCCTTATAAGATAAAAGAACTACAGAGAACACTGAAATGTGAAAGACAGGAGCGATGGAATAACACAACCCCCTCAACTTACAATTCTAACCCCTCAGTAGAGTTCTATCCTGCTGCTTCATGACTGCATGTGACACAGCCCTCCCTGGGCCTCAGTTCTCCCACTATAAAATAACTGCAGAGCATCATTGCTGGCAGTCTTGTACTAAGATGACTTCTAAGGTTCTCTTCCAGCTCTCAACTTCTGTGCTGTCTGTGAAAGTTTAGATCCTTGATACTCAGTCATAGACAGCATGCTGAGTGTGTTTGAGGCCCTCACTTAAATCCCCAAACACACACATACACACAAACATACCACATACACAGACCACACATACTACATAACACACACGCACCACATGTATCACACACATACACATATATGTACCATACACACTACACACAGATACACATGTATTCACCATATATACACACACACCACACACACTTCACACACGCACACACACACATACATACATACATACACACCGCACTTTCAACACCACACAATGGTTTTACAACTATACATGGAAAACTATAGGGAAAAAAGCTTCCCCAGACCTGGACTTTGCTTCTCTTTGTTCTGTTTTGTTTGTTTATTTGTTTGCTTTTACAGTTAAGGAAACTATTAAAGACCACAGTTGCTGTTTGCCTCGATTTCTAACTGTTTTTATCATAAACTTTAGTTTAGATCTAGAACTATGCTAGAATTAATTATAAATTGTGATTTGTTTAATGTGATTCATGAATCTAGATTTCAAAACTAAGGAATATAAATTCCCTTGATCTATAGTCACTCATTTAGTGAACAGTTCAGAACCTGTTATATCCCTTACCTTGTTGTAAATGTTTAGATAATGTAGGTAAATAAAATGTGTTTGTTTACATGTATATGTGTAAGCCACAGAACTAGAAAGCACACCAGGAAAAGGGAGGAAGATCCTGAGGGAGATGGAAGTGGGGGTAGAACATATTCATTAAGAAAACAGATGGTGAGCTGGTGGCTCAGCAGTTAAGAATGCTGGCTGCTCCTGCAGAGGACCTGGGTTCGATTCCCAGCACCCGCATGGCAGCTAACAACTGTTTGTAACTCCAATGCTCTCTTTTGACCTTTTCTTCTGACTTCCATGGGCATTGCATGACATAGATGCACTTATATACATTCAGGCAATGCACACATACACATAAAATTTTTTAAAAAAATAAAAGTGTTTTAAAAAGAAAGCAGATGATGGAACTAACTAAGGAAGAAATGGAACCAGCTGGAGTGGGGTGGAGGCCTAGAGAATGGCTGTGAGGGCAGGAACAAATGAAAACAAAGCAGAATGACACATGTATGAGGATGCCATAATGAAGCACTTTACTTGGTATGCTAACCTAAAATGTTAATCTTTAAAAGGGAGAAGAACCCACGCAGATCTCTGAGCTTGCATGAGAGGAAGCAGGCAGGGAGAAACCACCCAGTAATAAGTCACTCACATGATAGGACAGAGTATGGTTGTGCCTTGGGGAAAATGAAGAGTAAGATAATGAGAATTAGATTTGAATGGTACCTTGTATAGTCTGGTACCTGGCACAGTCTGGGCAGGCTTCTTTGAGAGAGAGACATGAGGACCGTGAAGGAGGATAAGGGTAGAGCATTCCAAGCAGAGGAAACAGCCAAACACAAAGATAAGCAAAAGAGCCAGCCTGGCATGTTTGAAACACACTATAACATGGACTCTGCCAACACCACGCAACCATGCCTGTGTCTTCTTGTGACGAGAACATTTTCCAACTTTTCCTTGGCCTTTTGGACCTAAGGTGGAGTTTTGCTCTTTCTTAGGTTCTCTGTCCATTGTCCTTGCCTTAACTTGTGGATGCCATCTATGGGGTCTTTCCCTATCAGGCCTCCCTCTGCAAGTTCCCTGCAAAGGAGCTCCTGCTCTTCTCCTTGGGGCTTCCTAAGCATTATACACAACTTGCTCTAAAGAAAATGGCTTAGAAAAAGCTCAGAAGCTCAATGCACTTCTTGTTCTTCTATTGAGATTCTTCACTCCTTTCAAAGTGAAGTCCATTAATATTTCATGGAGTATTGAAAACTGACATGTCCCGGCACCAGTGATAGCTCAGAGGATAAAGGTGCTTGCTACCTAATGACCTGAGTTCAGTCTCCAGAACTCACATGATGGAAGGAGTGAACTGACTCCCACAAACTGTCCCCTGATCTCTGTGTGCTCGTACACACACACACACACACACACACACACACACACACACACACACACACACACAAATATGTGTATATATGTAAAAAATGCTTTAATTGACATATGCCTAATTTATTTTTTGAAATGTGCCAGCTTCTTGACTGCCAAACCTTCCTGAAAGTCACAAGATCAACTCCTCAAACCCTCATCTTCAAACTGTTTATGGCATACTTGAAATCAATCAACTAAGTCTTTAAACATCACTTACAGCACTTTTCCTTCCCTAAAATAATTTCTTACAGAAAAGTGATACCACAAGCTAAATATTTTCTTTTTTTTTTGTCTTTGTTTTAAATAGATCAAGTGATCAAGGATACTTTCCGGCTTTTTCTAAGCTCCATGCCTAGTAATACATTTCCTGTTACAGTCCTTCAGAATTCTGTCAAGGTAATGTATGTATATTATTGGAATGTGAGATGATTGGTCTTGGAGTATTCACACAGGGGCTCCATAGCGCACAGCACCATGGAGGGGTCCAAGGTGGGAAGATAGAAGTCGGTAGCCTTTCAAGTGACAGTAAGCAGGGAAGTGATTTCCCAAGACAGTTACCATTCTTAAATGTCCTGGTCCTATTGATCATTCAGTTCTTGTGGCTTTTATGTGCATCTCCCCACCCCCCAATCCCAGAGCTAAGGGAGTGTTTCAGCATTTGACAGATGGGAAGGCCTCCAGCTGTTGGGTTTCAGTATAGCAGGAAGTTTCCAATGAGTAAACTCTCTACATATGAGAAACAAGAGGCTGCCTCTTTCCTTCCTTCCCTCATGTCATGAGATACCATGGGACAAAGCATACAGGACAAATCTCTTTTTCGGTATGACTGCAAAATCTAGTGGAGAAAGCCTTACCATGTTTAGAAAAAAAAAAAGGACATCAAATGGAAGCATCCGAGGTTCTTTGCTGGTGGTTGACCAGTGTAGGTTGAAGACCTCACTAGCCTCTGTTCTCCATGGAATGTGACTGAGCAAGACACAAAGTAGGGGGCCTGGAACGATGGCTCAGTGAGTAAGACTGCTTGTTGTGCAAACATGAAGACCTAAGTTCAAATCCTCAGCACCCATGTAAAAAGCCAGGCATGGCAACGCAAGCACCTGTAACCCCAGCACTATGAAGGGCAGAGAAAAAAGGATAGCTGGGATTTGATGGCCACCAGCTTAGCTCAAGGGTCAGTAAGAAACCCTGTTTCAAAGTAGTAAAGCAAAAGGTGATAGGATAGGATGTCCAACATCTTCCCCTGGCCTCTGAGTACATGCATACCACACACCACACACACACACACACACACACACACACACACAGTAGGCCCAAACATGGCAGGAATGCCCCCATGGGAATTAGTTATCCATGTCTCATGTCTCTCAGTGGCTTCAGACTATATGTGTTATCCAGGAATAATGCAAATCTGTAAAATCGCCCTCTCTGCCATGTATGTTCTATCTAAATCCAGGTAACCAATGAACCTCCAAAAGGCTTACGTGCAAATATCAGGCGAGCGTTTACTGAAATGACACCTTCATTTTTTGAAGAAAATATACTTGGAAGGAAATGGAGACAACTGATATTTGGCATTTGCTTCTTCCATGCAATTATTCAGGTACACGTGATTCTGCTTTTTAACAGCAACGCGGAAGTGTTCCGTGTTTGAGATATGTAAACAATAAGATGACTGAAAACTTACAAGTGGCATTTAAAACTCGAAGGTTTATTGTGTTTGAACCAAAGTTCTCTTTGCTCAGCCACCAATTCTATGCACCTCTTTGCCTCAGAATCTCACAGCCCAGCTCTCGCCTCTATTCTAATCTGCCTGTGCAACACCATCATCCAGATGAATGCAGAAGGTCCAGTTCAACATCTCCTCAACTCTGCCCCATACCCTAAATCTGCTTTCCCTCCAGAATCTAGTCCTAAAATTGGTGGTCCCAATCACCTACAGTCAGGAGTTGGAGAATATATTTTAGTCTCTCTTCACTCATATATATTTTTGCCAGTTGTCAGGTCAACTTTTTTTGTTGTTGCTTTTGTATTTGTTTGTTTGTTGTTTTGAGGCAGAATTTCACTTTGTAGACCAGTCTGGACTCAAAATCAATACATAGCTCAAACTAACTTCAGTTCTGCAGTCCTCCTGTCTTAGTCCCACAAGTGCTGAGATGGCAGATATATGTCTTTCTGTTGCTGTGATAAAACACCACAACCAAGGCAGCTTAGAGAGGAAACGTTTATTGGGCTTATAGGTCCAGAGGGATAAGAGTCCATCATGGGAGATCCTGGCAGGATACAGCTGGAGTGAAAGCTGAGTGCTCACTCCTTCAAGCAGGCACAGGAAGCAGAGAGGGAGATGCTGGAAGTGAGGCAAGGCTGCAAACTTTCAGAGTCGACCTCCTAGTGATGTGCTCCCTCAAGCAAAGCTGTACTTCCAGAAAGGTTCCATGACCTTCCCCAAACAGCACCACCAACTACCACGTGTTCAAATACTTGAAGCCCGTAACGGACATTCTCATTCAAACCCACAATAGTCACCATGCATGGCTCAGTTCACCTTATTTTTCTTACAATACTTTCACCCCTACCTGTTCCTTTGACTTCACCACCTTTAACAGCTTCCTCCCTACCCACGACTACCTACAGCCACTAAAAGGTAAACTTCAAGCCAACACCAGTCTCCTCCCTCTGGCCAGGACTCATTACTGATCTGTTACCTATCCTGTGACTTAGCACTTGAATTCTGACTCTTCAGCTCCCTAACTCTAGGTGACGTCCTGATTAGACTGGCTTTCAACCATCTGTGGTCTACAGAGAAAGGGTTACTGAAGAAAAAGGAATAAATAAAGATGCAAGATATGGGATAAATAAACAAAAAGGTCACAGAAGAGATCAGGGACTCTGTCAGTAGAATCCATGCAGTTGAGATACAGAGGTAGTTTAAGATTTAGTGAAATTTTGAGATCAAGACACTGGAACATGGGAAAAACTTCTGACATGATCAGCAGTTTAGAATTAAGAAATTAAGAGTTCCCATTCCCTCTCCTTGGGCCTTGGACCTGTCCCTCTGAGACTGCTTGAGAGTGCCTCACTCGGCCTCCTGGGTTGAGTTGCCCAAATCCTGCCTTGCCCATACCCCTGCTCTGGATCATCTCTGGACCCTCCTGCTGCTCCAGGGCTCAGGCTTCCCTGCTGGCTTGAAGGGGCTGGCCCTTTCTATTCTCATCCCCTCTACTTGGGCCTTGGCCCCATCCTGCTGAGACTGAAGAGTAAGCCTAACTAGCCAGGGTCCCTTTGCCCTCCTAGAGAGCTCCTGAGTAGCCTGCCTGGATCCATCCGGTCCCTCCAACATAAAATCAAAGGCAAGAACTTCAAGCCAATTTTTCATACCTAATCAGAAAGCAATCAAACAATATCACAGTATCAAACTTCAACTCAACAAAGGCAGACTTGAGTTTCATACCAGAATTACAAGTAACAAAAGAAATCAACAGACCCAAACCACAAAGAAAAAATAGTAATATGAGAAATCAAAATAAAATATCCACACCAAACACCAGCAGCCCTACAGAAGAGTAAGTTCCACAATGAGAACTTCCCAGAAGAAAGCCAGAACACAGAATTTAAAAGAACAATCATAGACATGGCCAAAGAATTCAACAAATTTAAAAAACACACAAACAACTCAAAGAACTCAAAGAGGCTAAGGATAAACTTCTGACTGAAGCTCGAGGAAATACAAAGACTGAAATGACAAAAATAATTCAGGATTTGAAAAGTTAATTTTCAAAAGAAAAAAGATAGAGATAGAAATATTGAAGAAAACCCAAGTCAAAATGAAGATGGACCTGAAAAATTCAATAAGCTAATTTGAAATAACAGGAGAAAGCCTCGGCAACAGGATGAACGAGATGGAAAACAGAGCATCAAGACTGGATGATAAAGCTGAAGAACTGGACTGCTCAAGCAAAGAATATGAAAATCCTTTTTAAAAGCATAGGATGTGGGTATAAAGATGAATAAGATTGCTTGGGATTCTGTATGAAATACAAAAAAAATTTTAAATGCAAACTATTTAACAAAAAATATTTCTTAAAAAGGAATGCAAAATATTCAATAAAAATGTTTTTTTAATCACAGGAAAGGAATATGCAGGAAATGCAGGACACCACAAAAGACCAAAGTTACACATCAGAGGCATAGAGGAAGGAGAAGAACCCCAGGTTAATGGCATTGACCAGATATTCAATAAATTATAGAAGAGAATTTCCCTAAATTCAAGAAAACCATACCCATACAAATACAAGAAGCATATAGAACACCAAATAGGCAGGACCAGAACAGAAACTCCCCACAGCATATCATAGTAAAAACTCTAAATGTACAGAACAAAGAGAGAATACTGAAAGCTGCAAGAAAAAAAAACAACTCACATATAAAGGAAAACAGCAGAGGTACAGCTAACTTTTCAATGCAAATTATGAAAGCCAGAAGACACTGGACCAAAGTATTCCAAGTTCTAAAAGACTATAGATGCCAGTGCAGAATACTTTACCCAGAGACACTATCATAGTTGAAGGGGAAAGAAAAATCTTCCATGACACAAATAGGCTGAAAGAATTCATGTCCACCAAACCAGGCCCACAGAGAATACTCAAAGCAACACAGAGGACTCAAAAAGGGAAAAACTACACCCAAGAGGCAACAGAAAGAAAATAAATGAAGGTGTAATTAGAAACGGTTATACTAAGCAAAGTAACACAGACTCAGAAAAACAAGTTATATATGTTCTCTCTCATTGTGAATCTTAGCATCAAATTCTTAAATGTGTATATATAACCTGATATAACCACAGGAGCCAGAAAAATGGAAAGGAGCCAAGGAGGTAAAGGTAAAGAAAGAGCCCAAGAGAGAGATAGTAGGAGAAAGATGTTACCAAGGGGGAAATATGGAAAATGGGGGTATTTAACAGGGAAGGGAGAAGGGAAGGATATACAAGGAACTATGAGGATAAATGGAAAAAGGGAACTCAAATGAGAAAAGAGGGCGTACTTTAACTGGGGAGGGACAGTTAGAGAGGGAGAGAGAGGGACTGGTGATAAATAAGGCTTAGGTGGTATGAAAAGCCAAAGGTAAATGCAATAGTTCAAAAGCCCACTAAAAAAATACATATATAGTATCTGTACTTGAGTGTATAGTATCTGTATACATGTGTATAGCTGAAGGCTATAACAAGAAACACAGGGCCAGACAGAAGAAACTTCCCTTTGGACACAGGACTTAGAGCAATGGAACTGACCTGAAAGCCTGCTCCATGAAAACAAGCTCTCATAGTTGTGAAGGACACTATGCAAACTGCTAAGGGAGAAATGTAATCAACAGTCCAACCCCAGCTTTAAAGTCTAACAGCCACAACAATGACTGGTACAGAAAACTTCATCAGTGCAGTAGAGGCACTTTTATCTTGGGAGTAATAGCAACTATCTAATTGAACTTAAAACCCTCTCCATGAGAGGGAACTCATGTGTGGCACTGTAAACATAGCCAAATATGCATGGCTGGAGAGGTCATAGATCCTAGAGGAAATTCTACATCTGTCACATCCCTAGGCAAATATAATTTTTTACTATATGCCAAATACGGGTCCTTATATTTACAGAAAAGTATACCAGTCACCATGCATCAAAGAAGTTTCTTTTGCAGCAAAGTCTAGTACAGAGTTCCAGAACTAGTCACACACAGAGAATAAGTATCTATGAGATGCCCAGCCCTGAGTGACACATCAACAATGCAACCTCTACACCTAAGGATCATGGAACATAGTGGAACAAAAGGTAGACAGAATACTAATGCATTTCTCAACTCTCATCAGCGAAGCTCCCTCGTGCAGCAGAGGGCAATGCACAGAGAAGGCTACAACTGGCCAGAGTGTACAGATTAAGAGACTGCAGAGTGTGTGTCCCTGGATGGGACTCCTATATTAAACCTCATACACCCAGGGCTCAGGGACCATTGCCGAAGAAGAGGCAAAAAGATTGTAAGAGCCAAGGTTAGTGCATGACCGTAAGGAAAGTCTCACAGGCTCCTGGGAACTTGCTCATATGAACTTATAGCAATGATGACAGCATGCTCAAGACCCATGCATACTCAGTCATATAAAAATCAGCATAGAGCTGTGGAAATGGACAGAAGGCCACAATCTTAGCCAAGGAACTATTAGCAACTGATCACTGCCTGGTGAGAGAGAGTAGATCTTCTTTAAGGGAGTGTTGCTAGATAGGCTGACCAGGCTCCAGTGGATGAACTCACACCAAGACACAGCTGAGGAAATAAACCTGACTCACTAGGCTTTAACATATAAGACAGAGTACTTGAAATCCTGTGGGCAGGCTATGGAGGTGTTGTACAGATAGGGGAGATCTAAATATGATTAATATGTATTATATGAAATCCACAAAAATTCAAAGTGTAGAGAATTGAGAGTCTGTAGAGTGTGAGCCCTTGGACAGGACTCCTATATTAAACTCCACTCATCCAGAGTTCAGGGACCATTGCAGAAGAGGAGTCAAAAAGATTTTAAGAGCCAGGGGAGGAGGTGCATGACCATATGGAAAC